ATTTATTTCTGCCGTCTTGAGGTGACACTTGAAACTCTGCTCGACAGTACAAAAAGAAGTATATTCTTCATTCATCTTACATTAGAAAATACTAGAAACTCTTTCCTAAAAAAAAAAAAAAAAAAAAAAAACAGAGGGATTGACAGTTTTTAATTAGATTAATTTTGCAGATTTCGCGCATTTTCTTAAATCCGTGTCCCGAAATAATTTATTACTTTTACAAGCTTTTTAAGAATCTGTATCATTCTAATTACATTAATAATTTCTCAAGTTATCATTCGTATTCTCAGTCGTTTTGCTACGACGGCGATAGAGAAGGTTTCCTTGATAGCGCAAAAAGAAGGGTTCAAATGGAGTAAATATCCCTCTCCAGCTTAACCGGAAAACTAGCGGATGTCACAAGCAGCGCCCTTACATTCGCCGCCCTAGACGTAACTTATGTAATTACCCGGTCGTACTTTCTCCGGTCTCTCTTTCTCTCTTCCCGCTCTCGAGCTGCGCTCTCTCACCTAGTTTTCGCGTCGGGCATTAACAGCTCCGAAATCGAAATTTGTGCAGAGTCTCAAACGACCGCAATTCGCGCGATCGTTTCGGGTCGTACGTTTCGGGATGCGAATTTACCGCGAAAGCGCGTCAGCGCGTTTTAGTGAGCGTCGCTCAAGTAGCGATCGAGCGCAAATGACACGAAACCCAGTCGAACGAACCCGACTGAGCGCCGTCGCAAAATTATATGTTGAACTCTTGACTTCGAAACGTATTAACTCGGGCCCGGGATTAATTTCTCGTCATTCGGATAAAGCTTAACGAGATCGAATGACGCAAACGCTTTAAATATTACCTGCTAATATTATTCCTACACAGAATTAATAATGCACGACACCAAAACTAATCCATGTCGCACATAGATGATTTAGTTTCGTGTGACGTTTGAAGGATATTTGACTGAAACAAGAGTCGTACTTACAAACAAATAATAATAATTTAAAATTACTTTACACACACAAGACAAGTTTAAAATGAATGAGTAATAAAAATTTATTGCGGAGCAATTATAGAAGTTGTGCTACTAGACGAGAGAATTATTTTCGAATAGGGAACGACTAATCTACTCAATATATTTAAGCGAACACAAATTAAGCTGATCGGTCGATTAATCGAATTGAACCGAGAAACTTATTGGGTCGTACTATACAAAGTTCGGCACATCCAACTCGATGCACGCAATAACTACACATGACTACTAATCATCCTTGTATTGATTCTAACGTGGAAATTTAATTTATTGGCCCAGCGAGCGTCGTAAATACACATAATAATGCGTTCGGGAAACGTTCGGGGAGCGTTCAAAATGAATTTTTGCGCTCCTCTCGCAACGCAATTACAGACGTAGTGATAAAACGCACACATTCAAACGATTCTTCTTTTTACCTTTTGTATTTTCTTTGCGAGCTACAAGAAAGCAATTCAATTCTATGATTAGCATTAAGAAGAAATATGGAAATTTTCACTTTGATCTTACTTACGCGAGAAGGAGACATTAATGCATTCTTCTATTTCCTTACATAAAATTGTGATAAATTGAGCATCGTCGCGCTATCTATTGTAATAATACTCTGAGAAAATTCATCTATTTGTGAACGCGTTGAAATTTTGAGATTGCACGTTTCTCCGTTTTGATCCACGCGACACGTCAAAATTGTAAATTCCGGATGGCAAAATCCTCTTCCTATTTAAATTTATATAAATTCCAAAGTTAAGTTTAGGTAGGTATGTTACGTATGTAGGTAAAAGTTTCTTGCAGTTGAGTAAATTTATCGAGATCCGTTTTCTGAGAGAGAACTTACCTCTCAACTTACCTCTCATACACATTTATCATACACTATGTCGTAATGATTCAGTGAATTGAATAAAAGATTTGAAAACCGGATAAACGAAACAAGCGAAACATATAATACTGGGTTATAAAAATATTCGGTGAGTGCATAAATGCCGACCTCACAACGTACGTCGTATTTGTCATCCGAGCGATTTAGCTCAGTGCTTCTCAAATTTCATCTGGCGGGAGAATGTAATTTTCAATCCTTTTCTCAGAATATTTTTACAGGAATTTAAATAAGATTTCAACGAGTCGACGCAAATGTCGAAATAACAAACAAATGCAGGTTGTGTTCAATTATAATAAATTTATTTATACAAATCAATTTTTACATTTAAATTGATATTTGTCGACGTTTACCAGTATCTCACGATATATGCAATTTTCCTACTCTCATCTATAAATAAAATTTGAGGAAATTATTGGCAAAAAAATTTTTTTTGTGTTTCAACTTGAAAGTTTCTCAAACACAAGCGCAAATGAATTTCCCGAACTAGATCGAACTCAATATACCGTTTTGCCTTTCTTCTTATTTAACCTAATTTGAGAAACACTGGTTTAGGTGACCACGGATAGCTGCCGTGCATAGTTTCGGCTTCCCGAACGCACTCTCGCTCCGATAAAGGGATGCAGCTTTGCGGAATGACGGCGGGGCGGGGAGGGAGCAAGAAGGAAAGGGGGTCAAAACGCGGACCGCGCGATTCTGGTCGACGGTGACAGCCAAAGCGTAGGAGTGTCAGGACGTGAATGGAATTGCGAGCGGATCGGCCGCGTATATATTCCTGCCCGTTTACATTTATATTCCGTTCGGGACCCGCAAGCGTTCGCACGCTCCGATCCGCCGGCCCTTGCCGGCGGAGTGTATTTGCGCAAGCTTCTTCTCTTTTCGGGCGCGCTTTTCCTCTTTTCCTCCCACCGCCGTTTTCTGTGTGTAAAAGTTCCTATCTTGTCACAATTCGACCGCCGACACCGCGCGTCTGACGTTTGAATCGCTTTCTAACCCCTTTAGTTCCATTTTTCATACTCCCGTCTCGCTGTCTCCATTGACACGATCCGGATTTCGTCGGATCAAACACGCGGCAAAGATAGATGCAATAGATGTAGGGTCCAAGAGGACAGAGGGACAGATGGTGGTGATATCGGTTGGCCTTTGAAACAAAAATTTGCTTCCGGACAAAGTTAGAATTTTTAGCGTGAGTCTGTGCATTAAAGCTGGCCTTTCGATCCTTTGATTCTCTTTGCTCGCGATAGAGTTTGTTATCAATCGCTTTTCACGTGATCAAAGGACTGTCAAGAAAACCGTATGTGTGTGTGTGTGTGTGTGTGTGTACTTTTCGGGAGAATATATATACCGAATTTGCCGCATAGTGGCCAAGTTATATATTAGAATTTATACGAACGATTTTTCTTTCATCGCAATAAATTGCTCGGTGACAGATTTTTCGATGAAAAATAGAGAACATAACTTATTTGAATTTAGTTGCAAATGGTATCCCTGATTCTTTAAACGCATATTTATTTTAATACCCCTCTATATATTAAAATACTAAATTAATTAAAAGGTGCGTTATTATTTAAAAAAGTTGTTAACGTTGTAACAGCAACTCTCTGTGTGAATAATTAGATGCGTAAATGGCGCTTAATTAATTTATTACCAGCTAGATCACTGTACACACGTTATGAAATCGCTTGTACACGTGTCATGTGTATCGAATGTGAACGTAGTTTCCTATAAACTGGAATAAATATCAGACAGAGAAACAACGCGTGCGTATGCAATAACGTTATGCAAACCAGTAGGTTTCCAGGATTCAGCGTAGCTTATCGTAAACGGGTGTTATATACAGACGAACAATCTGGTTGAGTTTGAATTTGTATAAACTACGCAAAAATATACACATTTAAAGACATATATATCCTGACAACAGTTGTGAGTTTTCTCACAATTTTTAAAATTTTTATATATAAATTATATATTTATTCTTCATACACATAGCTATTTATTATTAGTATTGTTATTTACCGTTAGTCAGAAACTAAGATGTTAATTAAGAAAAAGGCACACCGGAGAAGAAAAATGTTGGGACTGCGATTTCAAAGACCGTACGTAACTCTTTTTAATTTCTCACCAGGACGCAGAGGCACGTAGAGACCGTGTCTTTAATTAAGTAATTTTACAATGTCGAATGTTAATGCCTATATCACTAGGAGCGGTGTAAAAGCATCCAAGGGTATTGTCAGTTTTATTTACGCGATCCATTATACAAAAGAAAATTACGCTCATCTTTGATGCGAGGCACACAGCGCGAAGAGAGCTTTTCCACGGCGCGCTTTGTCGCGTTTAAACGTCCCTTTAATATCAGTAGACCAGAGCGTTAAGGGGACGTGTATCGTATTTCTCACACATTCCTTCGACGCAAATAAGAAAATACCGAACCGTTAAAGTCCGGCGCTTTTGCTTTTACCGCGACTCGTCTTTCTTGCGCGATATCATGGCGAGGCGCGCGGAATGTCTTTTACGAAGTAAGTTGCGCGCGCGCGACAGCTAGGAAATATTCGTTATAACGTTACGAAACAACTAATCCGTTTCGAGAGCGAGCGGATTGCCGGGCTGGCCCAATTTACGACGTCGACACGGTTGTATATATTTCCCTCGCTTTTGCCGCTCATAATGCAACACAACAGAGTCGTATGCTTTTTGATGTATTGCACGTAGCTCGTGGAGTATATAGATGATGGTACGCGCGCGGAACACACCGTTTGCAAAATATCAGCCGCGCTGGATATGTTATACGTATATATATATATATATATATACGCACATATGTTTCATGAATGCATCAAAGTATGCGATTGCGGGTGTTAATACGAGACGCTTCCCGATTATCTCTCTCTTTCTTTATCTCTCTGTCTCTCTCTCGCGCGCTCGCGCACAATGTTATCATACTCCGGTAATATCCAATGCAATCTCTGCAACTAGAATTAATTAACAAACGCGCAGAGGTATTCATATTATGCCGATATATTCGTATTATTGTTGTGGAGTTTCGTACAAAAACGCCATTATGTTTTTCGAACAATTAGGGGTATACGCATTTATTGCACAATTACAAGTGACACACATACACATGTATACATTTGCGCTGAGAAAACTTGAAAACAACACAAATGAGTCATCTCTCACTTAGAATCGAGATTTCGCATCTACACGGAAATTGCGTAAGAGACATTTGGTAATTTGTTGTAATTCGATCTGCGTGTCTTGCGCCGTCGAGGAACAAAGGTAAATTAATGCGGTTTCGAATACGCGTGAAAGGACCTTCGCCCCGCGCTTCGTGCCGCCTCACGGTCTCACGAAACTGGTTTTCATTCTCTTGAAAACGGGTTTAGGGTAGACCTTGGGTCTTGCAAGAATTTTGAGACGCCTCGAGCACTTCGCCTTTAATGCCATTGGTGACACAGTAAAAGCATCTTCGCGGAGGTCCGTTTCTAAGCCCGCCGGACGTTGAGCGGGCTTCGCCAAGGCGATTATTCTCTCGGAAGCTGCGGCATTAAACATTACACCGAGTGAGTCTGAGAACGGTCAATCCCGCCCATTAACATCGGTTTTCTCAGCGAACCGGTTTATTCTTATCAACGAGCTTACAACGCCGAGGGACCAAGACTAACTGTATCGCATTTATGAAACAAACTGTTTCGTGCGGGTTTTAACGATAACTATAATCTCGCTCGAGTTTCATTTTGCGTGAACCGCAGGGGCACGATATTTGTTTGATTAATTGGTTGCCAGTTACGCTACGTGATTGTGTAATGGCAATACAGTTTAATTTTCTAAATATGTAATATGTTTACGCCAACGCGCATTAATCAGCCGTAATGGACGCGATAAATTTTCCACCGAATCAAGTTTAAAGGATTGGAATTATCGAAAGTAAAGATATTGTCTAAAATGAGAGAAAACAACTTTTTAAAAAGAAAATCGTAAAATTGTAAACTTATTGTTTTTTTTTTTTTTACTTACAAAGCTAATATCGTATTTAAATCAGAAATTAGTTATTATTAAAAATTAATTGTTTAATAAATGATAGTCGTCATTTGTTAAGAGATAATATTTTAATATTTTTTAACGTGTTTTCCGTCTGTCTGTTTCTTTGTCACTCTTGCATTTCATATTTTTTACGGATTTCTCAACTGAAAAACTATTGCGCGCAAGCTGACAACACGTCTCGCGCGATTATATATACGCGAAAATTAAAGCGCTTTGGCTTCCGTCTTATGCGTCTTTCTATTATCGTCCGAAACGCTCGATGGACTTGTATCAGCGTCTCGCGCACGAAATTAAATTCCACGTCAGCGACGTGGCGCGCCGGCTATGTCTGACGATGGCGAGAAACCCTTGAAGAGGTGAGCCCTTTTAGATTAGAAATATGTTACGGGGAAAGTTAGACACATAGAGCGCACAAAGAGCAGAGCGAACTACGGTATGGGTCGATCTAATTCAGACGGGAAGTTTCTGTTACTTCGAATACATATAAGATCCGATCCAATCTGCTCCCTCAATTGTTTAAGCCCGTTCGTTTGTTTACATTCCTGTCATGTCCCGCGTGGGCACAACGAAGGGATCTCAAAGGAAAATTAATTTACTGTCGCACGGTCGGCCGTCAATCGATAGTGGAAGAAGACGACGTTTAATCAGACGCGCCCGACCAATGAGCGTCGGGGTGCCCGTACAGTAGCAAAACCTCTGACATAACTGACGAAAAGGTTGTTTTACAGGTATGTGCAACGTGAAATCTTCCGGAATAAAACGAAACGGGAAATAAGTTTAAATAACGTTAATATGGCGATAGTCAAAAAATATTTTACACAAACAATAAATAAAGAGATTACAAACAGTTAGAATAAATACTAAAATAAATACTAAAATAAAAATAATAAATGTGTAAATGTGTGCGTGTGTAAAAATACAGGGTGTCCCGGAATGACTTTAACATCTCTCGTAGGCAGGTAAAAGAAGTAAAACTGAGTCGAAAAGTCCTGAACCATTTTTTTTTTATTATATGTAATAAAGGAGTAATTATTGAATATATCAAGCCAATCAGCGCCGACCTTTAGCTGAACGCACGTCAGTGAACCACGCGCCTGGTGTGCGTGAGCGCTCCGCGCGGCTAAAGATCGGCGCTGATTGGCTTGATTTATTCAATAATTACTCCTTTATTATATATAATAGAAAAAAATGGTTCAGGACTTTTCGACTCAGTTTTACTTCTTCTATCTGCCTACGAGAGATGTTAAAGTCATTCCGGGACACCCTGTATATATATTAAATATATTACATATTGTTTATAAGGAATCGAGCAGAAAGCGATAGCGTTAAAAAAATTAATCCGTTGTGCGCAAACGTTAAGTAATCGTTTGTACTAACACAAGCATCGCTAATAATATGCGGTGCAACATTACGGAACAGCACTGTGGGCAAGACAGTCTGCGGCAACAGCAAGCACAGTGCCATTGCAAGCAGATCGACAACAAAACACGTTTCGTGTGCCGCGGGCTTAATGTGTAGACCGTGTCCCGTTTATCTCTTCTATGTCTATATCAAATGCTACAAAATCGTTACCTCGCAGTTATGGTTGAATGGAAAGATAACGCGAATTCTGCATTATATCACGCGTTCAGAGTGATACTCTGAAACTAATAGCGGAATATTCGATATCGATCGCGCAATATTTATACAGTGTGTGTGTGCGCGCGCGTGTGATATCCCATTACTCTCGCGAAAATGTTTTTTTTTTTATTCACGAATTTTCAACCACGTGCACACATGAACAATTTCGTAATAAAAACTATTTTCCACTTTTCGGTATTGTTAAAATTGCAATTTGTTCGAGCCTATTTGCTGCCTGCAGTGATAAACGAATATCAAATAATGGCGCGCACTCGTTACACGTGTAAAAATACGCGGATCAAGAGTGTTATCTCTTAATTTCGCGATACGTGATATCTTCCCGGGTAATTTCCCGTGTTCGTATAGAAGCTATTTGGACGATAGCGCAGAGAAATCCGTCGGCTTTCTCGAAGTGTCCAAAGGTCGACGAAATCAGATATTTGCTATTCAGGGGGTGTCCCGAAATTACCTATACATTCGAGTCTCGATAAACGTACGATCGTACAATAAAACGTGCGTGTGTTAAGGATCAGGGTCGTTTCTTTCGACTCTTTGTCTCTCGATGTTGCTGCTTTTCCGCGACGCTGACTGGTTTTCGGTTATTTGTGTCGCAATTTTGACAATTCGGGTTATATATCATGTGTTATGGTTCACGGATGAGATAATTAAAAAAAAACATATGAAAATATAATGTATAAAACATCGATATGTTGCGTATTAACTGAGTTGACACAATTGTTTAAACAAACAAAAACTCGTGATTTATATTTAACTTTAATAAGAAATGAAGCGGCTCGAGTCAAGGCTCACAATTTTAAGAAGATGTGCTGCCGGCACGAGAGAAATTTCTCTTGCAATAATTCGTTATGAGAACGCTCGTTACGAATAAAACTACCAAGTTTGCCGAAGAATTTGTAGAGAAGAAAAGATGTCCGCCGGGACACCCCATATAGACCAAAGTTACAGCAGCAGTTCAATAGCATGTGATGGTATTAGTGGATAGAATCTCTCGTAAACGCGTTGTCGCATTATTCGAATTCGAGGGCGGTATATCGAGCGAGAAATCGGCATGTAGATCAGCATAGAGTGAATAGTAATGATCGAATTGTGTATTACCTATAGCTTTCAACGCGGCCAACGAAACGGCACCTGGTATTCGCAGCGGAATCTCCGATGGTTTCTCTCGAGTCGCGAGATTTTTAATACGTTGGGTGATTTTGTACATGAGCGTTTGTTTTGCAATTACAAGCGGATCTCTGATCATCGGCATTTTATAAACTCTGGGTTGCGCCAACAAGTCCAATCGTTCCAAGTTAATCGGTCTCCATTTCTTTTTTCTTATCTGCAATAACAAAGCACGCATCGTCGCGAAAAATCTCGCGACAGAACGAACATCAATTTTGTTGAGAATTAATATTAATGTTTATGAGCGAACGAATAATGTCTTTCTTACGCGACGCTTCTTCTTGGGTTTCTTGACAATTTTCGGTGCGGCGAGCCTTTCCAGAACCCGCATATGTCTTTGCCAGTCTTCCGGTTTTGCGAGAGCTTTTCGTAATTTGGCCATTTGTTTTCTTCTGTGTGAATCGAGAGAGAATGAAATATTTTTGTAAAAAATACAAGTTAATTAGGAATTAACGTTTTATTATGATGACGAGCCAACTTCCATTTGGAACGAATTTTGGAAACAGCTAGCAATTTCGAGGAAAAAAAATATTCGTGTGAAAAAATTGCAAAATAAAAAAATATCTTGTATAAATTATAAATTACTGCTTGTGACTTTTTAATTGCAACGGAAATCTTATTTATTTTCTCTCTCTCTTCTTTTAATTAAAATGAAAACCTGTGAAGTTTTTTGAAATGAAGAAATATTTTCTTCACTTCACAAATTTATTTAAGTTATTTATTTAGTTATTAACAAAGTTTAGAAAGTTAAAGAATTTGTACACACAAATGCAAGGAAAAAATTGTTGATAATCTGCGGGTGGATATTATTGCGGTATAAATTGTGGGAAACCATTGATATCTTTCTAAATCACACAGTAACTGTTTGCAATAAACTTCGAGCGTGCGCAGTCTCAAAATTCACAATGTGTTCTATTAATAATTACTTTTAAAACAGTATTAAATCAGTCGTGCGTTAATTAAATAAAGAATTTAATGCGTTCAAAAGTTTTAAGCTTACTCTCTTTTGTTATTCTTATTGAGACCTTCTCTTTACAGCTTTATGAAAATTAAAAGCTAATTACTTAACTAAGTTTCCACGTAAAGTATTTTTGTAAAGTTTTTTCTGTGACGTAGTTAAGATGCAGATTTTATTTAATTTCGAAATTTAGTTTCAAAATTTCTAACAATTTGACGGTAAAATTTTTAAAATAATAAATTATGGTTCAGTGATCTAATACTAATTTTCGTTTTGAAATTAACCACAAATTTGCTGTACCATTCCGGGAATCGGTTACTTGTGCGAATTCGAGAGAACATTTCGTATGTCTGTGGGATGCGCGTGTCGCTCGCAGGGAAAAAGTGACATGAGAAAACATGGTGGGAAATGTATCGGCTTACTTTTTCCTGGCTTCTCGTTCTTGACGCGCGTTGCAGAATACGCGATACCTCTGGTATCGCGACTTTCGAACCTTCACCAGCAGATCATTCACGATTGCCTTCATGTTTTTGGTAGCTGCCAATTTCATCGTTTCCACTAAACATCTGGCGTTTAGAAAGCGCTTTTAAGTTACCGTACATCTATCATCGGCCAAGTCTTAAATAGCTACCATAAGCAATTTTCTCTCATATCGAATTTCCGTCTACAGTGATGTTGTATCAAAATCACTAATATATCATTCTTTTTATTAATTATAACAGTAAAATATTTATTTTGTTAATTGTAAAAACAAAATTGTATTTTGCAATTGGTTTTACGTATAAAGTTCTAAAAACTGTGTGCGATTATATATGTTCTTATTGACTTGTAATTAAATTATTCAAAAATGTACACAAGAATGATTTTATGAAACTTAATTTTTTACTATGTTTTTGGTATCGAGTGAAAATAAACGTGCACACCTTTTCTTGGGCAATGCCAGTTCGACGATACGTCTGCTGCTTTTGGCCGCGAGCGTCTTCGGATGAATATACGGATAGGGAACAGGCGCCATTCTGCGCGATAATAAATTTTGTAGAAAACTCGCGATAACTTGACGAGTAGGAGAAGACTTGTGTGCACTTACGAAACATCGTATTTCTTAGTTACAAATTTTGGCAGTGCCATAACCCGGATGCGCTTAGATGCGCGACTTCTCAGAGCCGCGCGCGACACTGCAAAGGGACGCATCTGAAAATACATATATATACATATATATATACATATATATGTACATATGTATATACATATACGTCGATATATAAGAAACCGGAAAAGGAAGCACAAAGACCCTTTGAACGCGTGCAAACGCCGCGGCACCGCTCGAGCATCTGCTTCATCGATCGTTTTCACAACTGAACGTTTTCCCACAAAAAAGAATGTTCTATCATTTATATAACGATCATTTGATGTTACGGAAACCATCTCATCTTGTGTATTTGCCATTCTAAATATCTTAACCAATTTTTGATATTCAACCGACGTTTCTTTAGTTTTTAAATATAGAGCAGTAACTTTTTTTTTCAAAAATACATTTAAATTATTTCCCGAAAAGAAAGAAACGTTTCTTTATGCAGATACTTATAAATACTAAGAATCTACTAATTATTCACGCGTTTGTTAGGGAACAAACCCTGATGCTTGGATCAACTCTGCGAATCCTTCTCCAGTTCGGACGCGCCAATAGCGCGAGATGTTGCTCGCGCGACAAATGAGCCTGAGCATATTTGATTCTTTGCCGGAGTCTTCTATCACTTGTCCTTTTTGTGCGTTCCATGTTTCTCTCCCGTATCTTTTTAACATATGTGCGATGACAAGAGTTTATGTTTAATTAAATTACATCAGTGTCAATTCGACGATTTCCGAACGGAAAAAAAAAACAGCGTATTCATAACCGGGAGAGTCGCTCGGGAAAAAATACAGAGAAAATTAACTCGGCGGGCACTCGTCGGGGTTAACTAACACCGTAATTTTTTCGCCATCAGTGTGTGGCGCGCGAATATTTCACGAGGAAATTTTCCTTTCGAGGATTCGGACAGCGCGTGACAGAGATGCGAGAACAAAATATGAGAGCGAGTTTTGAACGAATTTTGTTACGCCGCAGATTTCAAGACCGTTGACATTTAGCGTGTGGCGCTCTATTTCGGTATTTTTTTCGCACAAACATTTCTGAATGACACGTTTAACGACGGAAATATTCATCAAGCCGCGGCGCGGAACACATGTATGTATATATATATATATCATATAAGGCCGCGACAATGTTCCAATTCCGTGTGACAACGCGACGCATTTGCATTTCGCTGAATATCCCGACATAAGTCCAAATCACCGGAGAAATCACTACTACATAATATAAAGTTTCTTGTGTACGGGGTACGCGACAAATTAACCAACACATTAGAAATCCTCATGTAAAATATGGAAATGCGCGCGCGACAACATGTATAATACTTTTAGCATAAGTGAATGTGCAAAGGTTATTTCTTTTTCTCTTCTTCCGCACACATGCTTGCGCACACATGACGAGTACAAAGACAACACCGGAAATAAGCTACGTAATATTGTGCAGTTTGAATGCGCAACAAAACGAGTTAAAAGATAGAACTCGTATTCTACAAAAGGAGATTACAGAACGAAGGAACAAACACAATTCTCCGATCTGGGACAAATCGAGGACTCGATTCGTAACACGGATAAAAGTTTCGTCCAATGAAGAGATCCGTTAGAAACGATCTGTTAGTTTTATTCGTATCGAATCGTTGTCTACGAGAAAACGCACGGGCCACTCAAGGATCTTCGCCGTTCCACCCTTTTTCCTACCTCGTCTTCCTTCTCCTTCGCACTTTCGCCTCCGGGCGTCTTCCCTTATATCTACTCGCCATCGTAGTCTCGGCTCGTTTCCGTTTCTCTCCGGTTCCAAAACTGACCTCTTCTGTCTCTCTCTCTCTCTCTCTCTCTCTCTCTCTCTCTCGCACTTTCTGTCAACCTCGCATGGGAAATCTCAAATACGAGTCTGTTTACCTGGCACTTGAAATCCCTGCGGATATCGATGATAAGATTTCGCTCTCTCGCCTTGTAACGGTCTGCCGCGTCACGTTTCCTCCGCGTCTTCCTCCACCTCTCGTTCCGACACAGCTTCCTTCACTTAGATTATGCAATTTATATCGCGCGCGTTAACTACCTCTGCGGTCTGACGGTTGCAAGCGCAATAGTAACTCGCCTATCTGATCACTCGAAATTTCCCGAACCGGACTCACCTCCGGAAACATACGCGCAGATTTGCTGCTTGATTAATCTAGTGATGCATACATTACATGTGCGTTACAATACATGTACAGTGTACCAGGAACAATTAGGAACAATTGAGTCTCTGATCTACTGATTTATGGATTCTCTTTGTATTAGACGTGTGTCACTTGCGAGTTAGAGATAGAACGCTGTTACATTTTGAAAAAAAAATTAAATTCTGAGAAAAAAAGGGAAAAAGAGAGAGAGAGAGAGAGAGAGAGAGAGAGAGGAGAAAGAGAGAAACAAAAAAATAATCTTTAAATCATATGATTCAATTTTCAAGAAAGATCAAATCACGCGCGGATTTCAGATTTTGCTTGCAATAGTATTCGATTTTTATCTTTAAATGCGATAAAAATTGCTTTTCCTAGCTCGAAGAGGAAATTGATGACAATATACATATAACGTATATATATATATATATGTGTGTGTGTGTGTATATATAAACGTAAAAGTGGATTATTTAAAACAGTTCAAAAATGTTTCCGTCTCTTATACAACAAGTTGCCTTGAAAAGCAACTCGTAAAAACTACAAATTTTTCGGCAAATAAATTAAGACTTAGTGGCTAAAGCGGCTGCACATCTCTCTTAAGAATAAATCGTAATGTTTTGCGGCTTATGCATTTCAGCCATGGTTTATGCGCAAATTAATTTAGCGGAGTGCAAGGAAAAAACCCAGGGTCAGAGAGAGAGAGAGATAGAGAGAGAGAGAAAGACCAACCGGCTGTTTTTACGAATGATGTTTGTGTACCGGTACGGGAAAGATATGCGCGCTATACGGATGTTTCCTTTAAAAGCTTAAACTGTTCTGGCCATTTTATTCATTTTTTAAAGTGAAAAACGCCAGAAGTGGTAATCCTACTCTCTTTTCAAACATGCTTGCGTGTTCTCGGATCGAATGTTACATCGCGTAATGCGATGATGAGCGGTGTACGCTGTCACCTAGAGGCGGAAATGTTGTTTTACAAAATCCACTGGATCCTGGAATTTCGAGAGTCTGGGAATATTCGCTCATACGGTACGGACGAAATTGGGATTTGTCGGATTTGAGGATATTCCGCATTGCGCTACGTCGTTACGGATATCCGGATTTTTCAATATAGCAGGTAATCTCGATTGCTCTTTTTTTTTTTTTTTTTTTTTTTTTTTTTATATATATGTATATATATATAACGTATCGCGACGCACGCACGTCGTAAGCCGTATTAATTTGCTCGGAAATATTTGCCATCACCGTTGATTTGAAATTTTATAATTGAATAACTATTGATCAGCCGGGACGTACGCAATAACGCGCTCGTATATTTCTTCTTCTGTCACACGATCAGTTTTGCAAGTTTTTGCATTCTACATAGTTTTTGCTTTCTACATTGTACACTAGAATGAAGATTCACATCTAGTTAATTTTAACAACGATATACCCGCTTTTTGCTTAATCTCTTTCTCTCTCTCTCTCTCTCTTGGCGGAGAGAAGCGTATTGAAACTGTCGTAAGAAATCGCTTCGATATTCATGCAACACTGACTTGGATATTGTGTGCGATGTCCTTTCATAATTTCCGCACAAAAAGCCCCACGTTGGCAAGATCGACGATATGTCACGACTCGAGGCATAATTCGGAAGCATAAATCAGAGCCGGTGCGGCAATTAATTTGCTTGTCTATTCAAATTAGCCGTTCATCTCCTCTCGATAACCGCAACAATTATCGAAGGCGCCCGTATACACTTCGAAGAGGGTGAAAAAATTATCGGTTGGCTCGAATTCGCGCAGAGCACCGTGAAACTCTCGAGACTTCTCTCTCTTTTTTCCCTCTCTCTCTCTCTCTCTCTCTCTCTCTCTCTCTTCTTCTCTTTCGTTTTGGATGTGCAAGCTCGTTGGTCGAACTCGAAAAACTTGGAGAATGACCCCATTCGTCGCCGGGATCAGCGCGGAAGATACGACCGAGTGCGGAGAAAAGTTATCTCGCATCTGCGATCGCGGGAATGGAGCTCAGAACGCGCGTTTTTCTTCTTTCTTCATTCCGAGATGTCGAATGGCATAATTTAGTCGCGATTGCTATAGTTCATAAGGCAGGCTGAAAATCGCTCGGCTCCGCTCGCGCAAAATCACATCGACGTTTCAGGATCAAGTCATTTTTGCACGTACAGTGAGATTGCGATTCCTTTTTTTTTTATCGCGCTAAGTAAAAAAAATAATTTTTTAAATAAAAAAAAACTATATTCACAAATCAACTCAATCGGATTTAACTAAACTTATATTTTTTTAACAACCGTATGTCCGTAGTTTGAAAAACGTACCTATCTCGAAAATATGACTTGGTGAATATGTATGTATATAATACATATATATAAGTTGTATATGTATATATTATTTTTTGCTACCGCTGTTTTTTTGAACAGAGTCACAGAATGCGAAATAAATGTTTTTACGTAAAATGATGTGTAACTGATAAATAACAATAATCCATTAAAAAAATATGTCCGCATTATTTTTCCGACTGAAAATAATATGAGAAAACGAAACTGTTCGGACTTATCATTCCACGTAGGAATGGTTGTTGCGTGATATCGCAAAGCAGATATTTTATAAATATCTCAATAAAAAAACTGAAACCGAACTATTTCTTTTTCTCTATTTTATGAGTTATACATATATATATATATACACAAATCGAACAATACAGTGTAAGCAATATATGTATAGGTTACATCATAGTTGCTGACTCGTAAAACTTTTTCATTAGCATCGATAGATGCAGAAAGTACCGATAATACCCTGCAGGTTGAGACGACGGGATAGCAATATTCCGCCAAGTCCACGTAGAAGTTTAACGATTATTGTTTCTAACGTACTCGTGCCTTCTAATAGTATTCTGAATTGTACTGAGACTGTCTACAACTCCTATCGATGTGCTTAACAACCAGCGAGTTTGAAACACTCGCGGAAGCTATTTGACACCGGTTTGTTATTGTAAATTTTTTAATTATTCCGTGTATATTCAGTGCACAGAAGAATTAAATGTGTAATTAGAATAGAATTAGAGAGAAGGAAAATTAATCTAATCCTAAGCAATCAAATAATTAGAAAGAGATATCAATAAATATAAAAGACTTTGTGTCCTTCAAGTTTTTTAGTTTTTAATGACGGAAGAACATTCATTTCTCGTAACTCGAATGAGAAATTATACTGCAAGTATGTTTTTTCGCGAAAGTCCGTGCAAATAAAATCGTGTATGTACGGTTAATTGCCTCGCGTATTTGTTTTATCATACGTTATCTTAGCTGCAACGCGATTCTCTCTCATCGCACGTATAATATATTAAGTTCGCGTGACGCCGTACGATTATTATTGTCAGACGAGAAACGTTATCCGACAGCAAACAAAACTCCGGTGAATCCGCGGTTATGCTAAAGTCGGCGACATTACAGATCGCGGAAGTGAAATAAAGGAGAGAGAGTAGAGAAGGAGAAAGAGAGGTGAGAGAGAAACGGAGAGAGGCATGAGCGGTTTTCGCAAACCTGCCCGGGTTGCGGAAACGTAACGTAACGAGCTGAGATAGCTGCACTGCCTCGTGAAAGTTTCTCGCGAAAATTTTCAGGCGCGTCTCGCTCGCGTTGTTGTTCACGTTGTCGCGCGAACTCCGGAAAGATAACGCCTCATGGGCGTGTGCGAGCAGCGTGCATGGCATGCGGAGTGCACTGTCAGTGATATAGTTTTATATATATATATATATATACGCATT